TAGCACGCCCTCAGCTTCAGCAGCCGTCAGCCGGCCATGGGCACTCAGAGACCTCACACGCATCTCCCCCAGCACCCCTCAGACCCCACTGGCAGAGCTCAGCACTAAGCTGGTACCACAGGCGTAACACAGCCGGCTCCACCTTCCCCAGATGGCTAAAACACAACCCAAGGTATCTGTAGTTTTCAAGTCCCGGATTACAGGCCGGCAGCTGACTGCAAGTCGCACCACTATTACCCACGATCGCTCTTTATGTCAGCGTTTTGGAGCCCTGCTCATTTCCACTTGCAACGCCTTCCCTTTTCCGTCCCAGCCCGGGCAGGGAGTTGCCTGTTCATCTTTCAGCTACTTGTTGCAGGTTTAAGTTTTCACTTTCACACTGAACAAAGCTCTCAGTTAACATTTTCTCTGCTCTCCTATTACAGAGGTGAACTCACGTCTACCCACCTCCAGCTGCCCGCTATCACGTATCTGAAGCATTAATCCATCAAGCCCTTGCCACTAACACCCACCCACCCCAGCCTCTGTTCTGGAAGATCCCAGCAGTCCACATGAACTCACTAGAGAGGGTTTTGACTGGTTAAAGACAGGCTGGTGCACCAGAGAACAGCAATCCTCTCAGTACTGAGACCAGACCTCTCTGCAACAGCATCCCTGAAAATGTAAATTAAGAGACTCTGTGTATCAGGGTGCTAATCCTGTGCTCCTGGGAATATCGTCTGTCTGAAAACGACATCTTTCAGGCCACTCGGTAGTGAACAAAGGCTAAAAAGTAACATCCAAGAGACTACAGAGAATTGAGTACTGGTGCAGAAATGGGCCTTGAGTACGCCAAGAACTCCAGCGCTTCCAACCCAGCAGCTCTCACTTGACAGGGACATCAAAGCTGATCCCTAGAGCCTCAACAAGTGTGTGGCTCTGCCACTGCCATACCTGTCTCTGCAATTCCTATGTTAATGACAGGAGCCTTGTGCTTCTTTGGGAAGTCCCCAGAAGTTGCAGTGAAGGTGAAGCTGCCATCGTCCTTCTTAGTCATTTTATAGACACGAACAGTCTCACCATTTGCCAGCCAAACAATGAACGCCCTAAGTGGAAGGACAGACACTCTGAACCATTAAGAAACTGACTACCTTGGCTCAGCCTGGCTACACCAGGTAAGCTAATGGGCCACTCAGTGGCACCTGGGGAAAGGAATACACCGGCAGATAAAAAGCCATGTTCTTCATGAGGGCACAAAGTTCTCTCCCTGTGTTAGCTCAATCGCAACACTGAATGGGAAAGAACAGAATGTATTACTCCACACCTGGAAACGAGCTCCCTCCCTCTCTTGAAAAGAAACCACTTCACAAGTGCCAAGGCATGCGTTCCCAGGCAGCAAGAGCTCTCTCCTCAGCCCCCAGAGAGGCTCAGCAGCTCAATCCAGCCACGGGACCTTGCAGGCAAAGACCTTAAGAGGTGCCTTCCATGGGGGTGGCAAGTTGGGCACTGGGACATTCGCTCTGAGCATCACGTTAACGTGCCCACAGCTTTCATGAATCGGCGGTACTGTCAAGACCAATGAGGGATGCAGCTTCCACGTGGCCCTGTCCATGGGGTGTCCTGGTGCCTCTGTGCCCCAGCGGGTCCCTGGGGGGGGGGTGGGTGAGGCAGGGGGTGG